GGTTTCACGTAGTGCCAAATAATTCTTGCAATCTTGCATTCATTAATACGAGTATTATTTGAATAGGCTGGCGCCTTGGCATGTATGTACATATGTACACCACCTATACGTGACTGCACGTTCACCATATTCAACAAGAAAACTAAGAACTGCAATTAATAACTATCTATTAGTTCTGTGTAAAGATATATCCTAGGGCCACCTATCGGTTGTTCAATCAGTTATCCAGACTACAAAGTATAGATTCCTGAGAAAACGGTGTCAACGCACTTTGTGCCATCTGTCGGAGAAGCAGTAAAATAAGGTATAACAGGAAGGACTTGTTAGTCTCGCGACGTTGTCAGACTAAAAAATTTGCCTGAAGTATTAATCTGAATTTCCTGATATGCTAGTATCCAATAAATGGAGATCTTTTCACACCTGATATTATGATATTCTGTTTTTGTTTTAATCTAGCCGCAAACTTTTTGGTAAATAATACTTCGAGACATAATATATTTTCACTCAGTAAAATAGGAAATAATGAACTTTGCTATACACAATTATAGTATCTTTTTAATATTTGTACAAACTCATAAGCTGCGAACTGACTGGTAGCTATGGCTACAATTTTGCCTGTCCTCGTGTTAAGGTTTCAGCTTTGATAGGTTTTGGTATCAACGAGAACATGATGACACCAAAATGACGTCATTATTCGGCCACCTTTGGTCGAAAACGTCATTGTCTAAAAAATGACGTCTCCATTCACGCCATTTAATGACGACAACAAATACTAATACTAATAAGTATTTTATTGTTATTTATAAAAAGTATCAGGAATTCTTCGACCAAAAATATCTTGTTATCAGTATGACTTTTCTAATAATAATATTCCATGTTCACATATTTCAAATTCCCATCTTACATCATGATTTATTCTCGGAAATAACAAATTTATCAGAAACTCCTCTGAATACGTAACAATAAACAAGTTTTAGAACGGTTATCATTCAGTCGATCAGCAGCGAAGAAAAACTATTGGGCTTGGCGGTGAGCTCGACTGATGTCCTAGCACCATGCTTGTTCGCCATTTGCCAATGATTCGGCCAAATGTCTTATAAATCTATGGGTTTGACCGACATCACGATGACTTCGTCCTAAGGCTTGGGTGATAGCCACAAGAAGTGTTTTGGCCTCCTGTGAAAAAGCAAAGCGATTTTGATAAATTACTACAAACAAACCATCGGAGGTCTGGAATGTGTTGGAGATCAAACGGTATTTTTTAGTTCATTCGACACACTGTGTACAAATGCTACTAAAGAACTCATTGTCACATCCTCACCCAACTAGCAACCTACTGCTATAGGCTTTTGGTAAAAGAACCGTTCAGCCTCTATTGTTGTTGCCTGAACACCAAAATGCTGGCTTAATGTTGTGTGGAATGCAAATTTGCTTTCTGCAACATATTTGCTCTAAAATGAGGTGTTTAAAATATTCTTATAGCATAGTTGTACAACGCCTTATGGGACAAATTTTTAACTGTTGCATAAACGTTTATACAACTATATATTTTATACGGCATATTTGCACGTTAGTCCAAATGGTTGTGTTGTGGCGTCTATGGTAACGTTTATAAAACAAACCCGAGCATTGTTGTTTTGCTGTGCAAATTTACTACTTTAGCCAACAAATTGCTCCCAACTTAAGCACTTATACAACTGTTGTTTAGTAACTGTTAAAGGCTGTACATATGCAATAATATTACAACTTTTGTACTAAAAAATTGCATACATTTGTTGCTAAATATGTTGGTATACAACTTCACCTTAACCTAACTTTCTGCTGTCATATTTTTGTTAAAATGCCATAACCAAGACAAACAACGCATGCATATTGGTTCAAAAGGTTTTATCAACTGTTCAAACAGAAGATATAGATCTGGTAGAAATTCTGGGCGAATCATTCAGCTCTATCGGTATTTCATTTCATACATTTGTCAAATTGTTGTATAACACATGCAGGCAACACCAAAATATTCTAATAAACTAAAGACAACATGGACGATGCCATGATTATACACAACCACCTGCCATATTCGGCAAACATTTATTCCACTATTTAATATTGAATAATTATGTTTCAGTTCGAAATTACAGATATAGTGATAAACATTAGTGTACTTGTGTCTAAATATAGGATTTGTGGAAGATTTAACGCAGATAAGTTCGGTTTTGCATCTTAAAAATCTAGACATACTTTTGATCATTATTAAAATATGAATCAAATACGAAGCCCGTAAAAACTGCGTAACTACTTTGCACGATAATGACAATAAAATTTGCTGCGCAAGTAATTTAATAGACCTATATCACAGTGTAGAAGATTATCATATACCTACCTGTGTATGAAATTCACAATGGCCGATATGTAAGTAAACAAGATGACTGTAAGGTGTTAGTTATATATTCTTCACTTCGTATATGCAATACATAAGAGATAGTTTGGTTGCAATAAAGTAGAATCACGTAACAGAATGGTTGTATAGTTGAAAAAAACTAAATCTTGCACTGACGCAAATGTCATATAGTGGCTGCCAGAGGCTTACACTTTTGTTGTATAACTGTTACCTGCAGCCCTTATACAACCTCTTACATGACTGAAGTGTCCTATTAGGTGTGCCCATTCCGCTTGTATAGCTGTTCTAAGAGGGTTTTGCCAATGTTCTTACAGTATACAATGCTGTGTAAGGAATACTGTATAATCATTCTTGCAACTCTAATAGGAGTGATAATTTATTGTTAGTTGGGCAGTTTTTGAGGAGCATTTGTGTACACCGCGCTATTACTTTTGCGTGCGACTTTACGTCATCTCGACCTCAGGTAGACGTCATATCCACGTCATACAGACGTCATATCGACTTTGTATTTGGTATTCTATACGACATGCTATGGCTTCATATAATGACGTCAATTCGGTTTGACATCAGGCCGTCATAATGACATCATTTCTACGTCATCTTTGTTGGTCAGAGTACGTCGGTAGTGTCCTAAAAATGCCGACATTATGATGTCACTATGTTTACTGGGATATCTCTAATAGGGGGTATAACGTTTTATGTTATATAACACACTCTGCTTGATGACTGTCCCCTAATAACTGCAGATCAAGGGGTTGTTAATGCCGAGCGGTTATGTAGGAATTTTATATTGTCCAAGTACTCTTACATCTCAACGTTCAATCTCAGTTTATACTTCAAGTAGATACCTGCAGGTACACATTTTAGCTTCAAATTGTTTTTTGCCAACCAGCGTCGTCAGTCGTATCTGTTCAGGTACCCCTCACAGCTGCTCGTATTATAGGATCAATGTGCCAGTAACCAGTAGTGGGTCAAATGTCATATTATTGGTAAAGCTTAAGTATTTGAAATCCTATACTTGCTGGTAATTGGTACCAGGTTTGTCAGCTAATTTTTGGCAGTTCACAAAAATTTCACATCCACAGTTATCATATTGAAAGCAGTATTAGCGCATCAAAAACAGTAACGGCTCTTCAATTTTTGTCATTCGTTTAGTGAGTGACATAATCTTTAAAAGCAAGTAGAATCGTCAGTTGACAATATATAAATACTGCTCTTGTTACATATGGAGAAGACATTCAAAATTTACGAAATAAATTCAGCTAAATATGTTATTTTAACATTTGTAGGTCAAATTCGAGTGGCCGCTGACTGGAACATCATACTAGTCAAAATCCAGTAATCGGACAATTGACCGACTATTGGAATGGGCGTGGTCGTTATCAATCTATCTTTTCTTCTTCAAACATAGAAACTATCAAACTTTTCTCCTGGAATTAGACAAACCAAAAACGAAGGCCCAGCCACTGTACAGACAGCGAAAGATAACAAATAATATGGATTATGGCCAGTGGTGGAACGGACGAATTTATCATAGCATCCCAAAAACCGGACATTTCCATTTTCCCTCCAGTTTTTCACCCGACTGTGAAGTGAAATTTCACATTTCCATTCCATTCGGGAATGGATACCAAGAAAAAAATAAATTCTGTATATGTAGTGAAGTAATGGAGGCGCTCGAAGCTGTGACAAATGTTGGGAAATTGTTCGGAAATCTCTATATTAAATGGACTCAGTATGAGTGTGTTTGATCTCTTTTCCTCATAGTCTTAATGACAGCTGATCTGAAACTTATATCCTACCATAAAAAATTTTTAAATACGGTTCTGTCTAAAACTGGGCAGCCGACTAGTAGCACCTTCTGTCCGAGTACTGGCAAAATAGCACCTTGTTGATTCATATTTTTTTTTTATAAAATTACAGGCATATCTATAATCAATGTATGTATATTGTCGGCGAAAAGCTAACAACATAATATGTGATCACCGCCAAAAGCTTTAGTTGTGTTATCTTGAACACAAAATTCGTAATTATACTTTGTATCCACGTTTGTCTAAATTCTAAACTTTCCGGCCACCGGCACATTCACCCTACTCTATTGAAAAGTATCAGGTATAAAGCTTATTCACTACTCATAGAGATCCTTCTATCAATCTGTTGCCATTTATAAGAGAAACGCTTGGCAACATTGTTTCCCAAGTTATTCCACAATGCAGGAAATACATGAAGCACGGCAGGAAAATATAGCCAGTCGAAGCATAGAAACATTCTGTGAGGTGCTTTGATACAGGCAACACACATTACACCAAGTCCTGTGAACAATGGGAGACCGGTAAGTCATGTCAGTGGTTTACTTTGTTCAGATCTTAACGTTTTAGATACAGTCTTATTTAATTTCCCATTATATTTTGTTTATGTACTTGTATTACATGTATATGTACATGTACATTTTTGTTTGGATAAGTAACTTTCACTGTCAAGGAACATTGGTAGGGGAGACCGGGGTCGGAAGTCACCTTTTTTCTTTTACATTTCTAATTCAATTCTTTATTCAACGATCATCAAGCGATGACATGGAATGCGTCATAAGGAAGAGAAATAAAAACTGGTACAATGTACAAACATAAAAAAAGACACTTACTTAAGAGACGACACTACGATAAAATGATACAAACAGGTGTATAATTAGTTTTTAAAATAAGCTACAAATTCCCAATCCTGTAAAAGCAATAAAATGTATTTACCTTTCTTTTAAAGCTATTCAACGACGTAACCTCACGCATGTCGACTGGAAGCAGGTTAAAGAGCATATATCCAGCATAAACTGGAGACTTTTTATAGTACATGGAATGAAATGTATTATTAATGAAATTGCCTTTTAAATTTGTTATTTTGGAGAAAATACACTAATAGCTTGAACATGTAAATAGATGGCACGGTAAGAATTTGATAATGTTTGAATATTTCCCAGCAAGATGACTGAGTGAATTTTAAAAATTAAACGGATGATCCCTTTTGATGTCGCGGCATTTACTTTGAAAAAACGCAGGTTTATGTAGCAAAATTAACACAGTTACATATAATTCAGTCAGAATTTAAAAAAAAATGATTTGAATAAAATTCATGTTTTTTACTATTGTTGATTGTTTACTCATGTTTGTATTAGGTATTTTCTGTAATTGATATTCGATTTTACTGATTTAATATCACCTACCGTGTGTTTCTTCCTATAAAGCTCTTGCAGACAGCCTTTAAACGCCTACTTGATGACAAAGGCCTTCTACCAAAAATTTTGATACTTATTGCTCTTTTCCATGCATTCATTCATTCACTTGCCGGTTATCAGTACCATTATCGGACCTTCGATTGATATTCGTATAAAACCATTTAGAAATTTTTACATCCGGTATACCTATAAACTTGAATATTTTTTCTTGTTCAGGCAGTGATCAAACATTCACCCTATGTTTACAGCGATTGAGAAATACCCAAATATATGTCGTAAAGCTGCCAGCAAAAATAAAACCTGCAAAAGAAGCTAGAAACAGAAGAAATAATTTTCTTTTCTCAGGTTTTCTAGGTTATATTATAATTTGAATTGAAACAATGAATTATGGAAGGACAAAAATAACCGGTTAATTGAATAATCTGTTTTTAAATTCGATTGACCGGCTCAGTCCCAGTGGAACAAACCCTGCCAACTGATGAAAAATACTCTCCTGTGCTTTATAAGACTTTCCGTTGTAGAATTTTTCCCGAAATTGTTATCCAACACTTGAAAAATGCAAAAGAAACTTTCAAAATTAACGCCATGACGTCCCAAATAGCTCCGTTTGTACCCCGGGCTGAACATAAACCTTGACAGTTGCCACTAGATATTTTCGCTGCTTTTACTATTTTACATTCTGCTAAAATCTCCTAAAAAATAGAAGCTTCAAATATAATATTGGCGAAAATGTTAAAACTTTGACTTGAAACGGATTTTTCGGTATTTTTACTGAAACGAGAATATTTACCGAAAACGTCATTTTCCACGTTTTTTCAAAATAATTTAAATATTTCCAGATTTTTTTCTGTAGTTTTATACCCCACATCAATTATACATAATATACTTACACACTCAAGTTGGGCACACCAGGGGCGTAGGTTTGGGTCACCTATGGGTCACATCCTCATCCTTTACTCCGCTTGCCCCGATTTTTGTAGGCACAAAACGTACAGGCTGGTAGATCGCCATCATTACCGGACACCGGACAAGCAATAAGGAAAAATTTTGCAAATATTTTCGTAAATATGTATTTTTGATTCTGACATAATATCTAAACTAGACGATGAATAATAGGTGAATGCAGAGACATTTGCAAATATCTATGTTTTAGGACCAGGTCAAATTACATTTCAATAAGGTGTTTGTTTCAAGTGACCGTCAAATATATGTTGGTAAAATCCACTCTTGGTGCCCCGCGCGGAATATTGCACGATTTAATTTAATAACAAAAGAAAAATGTATGCTTGCAGTTCAAATTTTTCTAACGTCAAGTTGCTTATTTGACTAATCACGTCAGTCGTATCTCATACAGCCTCCCCTTGATTCCGTGAGATGTTCAATGGAGTGAGGACCTGGAGACGGATCTCTTACAACCTCATTTGGAGGTGAGCGGAGGTTTTGGCGAGGGTTACGTAGATTAGAAGAAACATAATAGAATTGCGAGAATTTTGGGTTCAATCAAAGCAAGGCATGTCTTGATTAAAATTTGGCGAAATCTGACACAATTATTATTTAGAACTAAGACGTGATTGACTTGGCGCTAGTTGAAAAATATGTTTGCATTACTTTTTGTCATAACGTTTCGACCATCACCATGGTCTTTTTTAAAGTACACCTACGACGAAGGATTATGTGGTGCTTAAAAAAAGCCACCGTGGCGACCAAAACTCAAGTAAGAATTCATACATATGTGATTTTATTTATTGGTCAGATATTCATGGAGTCCCGTCAGCATGAAAACTACAGGATAAGTTTTAGGTGGTTCATCATACAATAATATTAATTCTTAGCTAGTTCAAATAAAAATGTCAAAAGATGTCAAAAAAAATCAAACGCATTCGCACTGAAAATAGGAATTTGAAAAATCTCAGGTGGAATCTTACTAGACAAGAAATGGGGTAAAAAAATCGCCAAAAACATATCACGAAATTGATAAACAGGCAGTGTCATCCAAATGTTATTGAAGAAAAACTCATCTTACACTGAGGTAATTTAGGGGTATGCATCTTCGTGTGGGAGCCCTGAAAGACATTTTTATAGGAAGTTGAGGCACTATTTCTTTTGTGTTTTGTATGGTCCCGAGAGATTCTAGAAGACCCTGTATAATTCATATTTCGTTATACTTGGGATCCGGAGTATATTTGATCAAGACACACTCCTTCTTTCAGCCAACAAAAGACTTTACTGAAAGCTGCATCATGGACAGAACGTGAAGATTATGATGGACTTGTACTGGTTTCTGCTCCAGATCAAGCCAAAAGCCAAAAGGTATGTGAGTGTGGTTTAAGATATTTTGCTTTATGCGGAATATGCGCCGAAACTTGCCGACTGTTGTTTAATCCGTTTCTTAGAAAATACTTTTATGAATCATACTCATGATTAACAATAGGCAGCAACAAGCAACTGACAACCATAATTAAGCGCAGAGACGTGCTGCCGATGTTGTTTTGCAAAGGATTTATGAAAATCTGCATGTTAGCATAAATATGATGTGTGATAATAGGCATGTACTGGCAAAGAATCTCTGACATTTGTGGACAGTTGAAAACAGCAGACCAATTCATTTTGACGCATAAGGTTGAGTGACGCTTTGTTGAAAATTTGTTTGGTCGACTAAATTTGACGGTTACAAATAGTTGCTAAAACTTGGCAGTTATATAACAGACATGCCCCAGACAGCAAAAAATAACTTTCCGTCTTTACCGGAATGTTTGTAATTTCAACTGACCGCGTGGATCTACTTTTTGTCCATTTTTACCCCCACTCCTTTTTTGGTTTTAGCTTGTTTCTCTGTACGTTCCATAAGTCATCATATTTGTACAGGTAGCTGAATTCTTATGCGATTTATGAACAGTTGATATTGCAACTTAATTTCAACTTGAGTAGACAGATAAACTAAGACGATGATCTGCTTTAGTTGAAGTTTGACTAACCTAAAATGTTCCTGGACATTCACAACTTGACCGTCGAGTATCTTAAATTAAATATGGAAAAGTTTGTATTTAGGTATGTCAGAAATTATTATTATATTACACCGAAATGTTTTGAGAGTTATGCCAGGTTCCGTTATCATCCAAAAGCATCTCCATTCATAAAGAAGTTAATTGACGACAACCTGGAATCATTTTATAATTGAATATGATAGGAGATATACCGATAACGTCTTCACTGTCCTCAAGTACATCGATTACCAATAGGATTACCTCTGGAAGTACCATACTAAAACAGGGGCAACATGTGATAGATTTTCATAGACATACGTATAACTAAGTCAATCGAGTGTACTGTAGCTGAAGAGGTAATTCCCCAAAAAGTAACTATAGAGACACTGTTGTCAAACGTAACTTTACCTTTTCTGAGCTTTTGCCAAATTGGAGTGGTGCAACAGGAACATTGTTTGAAGGAGACCTTGTAACGTATGAATTGCCTTTGCAAAACGATCGATTTGAAAGAGGCGGTGCAACCGGGCATTAATGTTTATTGAAATACCTTTTTTTATCTTTGTTACCTACTTGCTGGTATCAGCACTTCATATGAATTACATCCAAATGTCTCCTATCCAAATTACTGGGAGTAAAATATTTTTGGTCCTATATAAATGCCAAAAGCCAACTTTAGCCTTAGATGCTCATGAAAATATCAACACTGAACCAAATATGCCTAAGTAAAATCTACAAGTTCTAAAATTTTATGAATGATGATGAAATATTCCTCAAAACGGCTAAAGTATATATTTCCCTCGTCATCCCTTTTTCCCGTTTGCTGGCGAAACCGCATATATAGAAGAAAAAGCAGTAGAATATTGCGTGTGCATGTACACGAATGGTTAATTAGCCAAGTCTCAAAGCGTATTATTCCTTTTGTTACGGCATTTTCGTTCACCGCATCAACCATGGCAAGATACCCACGGGAGGCCTCCATCATCGTATATGATGGGGAAATATTCTTATCCAGATTTTTTGCACAATATCTTCCAAAAATGATCCCTTTTAACAAGTCTGTCGGCAGGACCAAATTTGCGTCATAAATTTTTAACAATTTTTACAAATTCAAATTAAATTTATTTTTTCGCGCCGGTCAAAGTGCCTTCACGTTTTTTTGGGATGTTCTGAACAAATAAGGGCTTCAGAACTGTTCTCTAAGGTTGATAGTTTTGGAGAGACAATATTTGGAAAAGTGCGAAATACGGCACGTTGACCCTGAAAATGAAAACAATAGAAATTTTTATCTGCCAATGTTTCTATAAATTCTTCAAACATCCAATAACGAAACTCAAAGCATTCCAGAAAGTGTAGTTATTGTAAACCTTTGGTAATTTGTAAAATGGTACAGGGTGACCAAAAAACAAAAAAGGCAGTGACTATTAAACTTGAAAAAGCTCAAATGTGCTATTTCATATCCAAATCCGGAAAGAAGTTTATTAAAGTGTGTCTTATACTATGAGAAACCGGTTACAAATTATACGGCAAAAGGAAAAACACGGGAAAAAATGTCCTAGCTATTCTACTTAGAATATGCAAGATGACAATATCCAGTTCCAGTTCAACCAGAGGTGCCACAACTTTTAAAATATTTTAACGGAATTGTTCTCAACAGTTTTACTATTAAGCTTAGTCCTCATAAGTGTCTTACGTCAACTGTTTGAATAATCGATCACTGCAGTTCTTGTGAAACTTCGTGAATTAACAAATTTTACTTTAGATAAACCCGTAGTTACTTTTATCATAAAAAAATTTAAATTATACAATTTACACCTATCCACCTCACCTGATTAATATTTTGTCACCGATACCTTCGCCTATGCCTGTCAGAACGGAGGATTGAGTACCGCGCACTAATGCAGGAAAAGATGCTTACCAAGTCCTCATCTATTTATTGTAGCTATTTCCTACATCAGAAAGTAGGGTAGAACTCACCCGTCCTACCAGCTACGTAAGTACTGATTTCTTGTGATTCTAAAATCATGTGTATTGCTTCAAAAAGTACCCTGAGCGAATTAAGTTGGCATTTTCGAAGTGCCCTAGTGGTCTCAGTCGTTTAAAAAGTAACGTGTGTGCATTCGGAAGTGCGAGACTTGGTAGACATAGAGGTGTTTTAAGAAACATGCGGTTAGCCATCTCCGGATAGATGCCTTGTATTTGGTGTAAAAGCGGAATGGATAGAGAGATATCTAGCTTGATTTATTTTGACATGAACTCACATGCATACGTCGATGTGATGTGGTATATTGAGACGTGAGATAGGGGAAAGTTTTAATAGTTGAGAGCGTTGGTTATGGTTTCGTGAGTAGATGTTACTCGAGTCTTGAGTTTGCGATTGGATATTTTAAGAGTGAATCTATAACAGTTTTATGTCTTATAAAGTCACTTTTTCAGTTCTATATTAACGGCTCAAAGATGAATAGTAAAAAACACTATCTTTTCGCAAATCGGGGATTTTTTTAAACCTTTAAGACACGTAGTAGGTATATTTAATAGGTTAGGCATAGTTGGGATAATTTTCAACATTTCTTTTTTCTCTGTAGCTCAAGCTGCTTTTTAATATGAACGGACACGGCCATAATCTATTTTTCAACATAGTGTACAGGGGACGCTAGTAACAGATTATAATCTCATCATTTTATGCCATAACTTATTTGTTGGCTCCCTACCATAACCATTTACTGAAAATCATGATAGTTAAAGTAAAATAGTATTCAATTCCATTTAACATGCCCTTTTTAAGATATTCGAATTTCAGCACCATCACACAATAAAATACAGTTCGGCGGTAACAGCGGAATCGTTGTGGATGAGATAATGAACGTATTCATATTTTGCAAATACGTCAGTCATGATGACGCTGCAAAATATTTTCCGTTTTCAAAGGCTCCATAACGCATATTTGGTATCTGGAATTACGGATAACAATGTAGAATCCGTAATAAGCGGGTTAGAAGATATCTCTTCTACAATCGTAGGGTGATCAAAATATTTGCGTAAAAAGTTTATTTATCATGCAAATCTGTTTACACGAACGACGTTATATATAGCTTTATCACCGATACATGCTGTAACACCTTGAGATTTTTCCATCATCTTGCTCTTTTCACTATCACACCCTCAATTTATCTCCATGACTGATAAGGAATCAATTGCGATATGTTTGGTACAATCACAGGCTCATGAGTTCAAGGTCTGCAAAGTGTCCATCCAGTTCAGTGGTTGTAGATTTTAGATGCTTGAGTTTGTCGAAAAACACTTTGTAACTACACACTACTAGTTACAGACAAAACCAGCCAGTACCCTATCACTCGAATGTACCCTTGCAAAAAAGAACATTTATGAAGCTTGCTTTAGGTTTTTCTGACTAGTTGCTAAGGCTAGCCAATGTACAACAGCGCTCAGGTTTGACAGCCGCCTGACAAGCAGAGAACGATATTTCATGTTAAAAATGTTGCCAGCCCTCATTTTACTTTCTTATGTCTATTTTTTGCGAACCCGCATTAATCTTATACATGGTGCTCAAATAAATATACAATTTTTTCAGAAGTCTTAAATCTCATATATTTTTACATAATTTTATTCTACTTATAAACTATTTGTTATACAAAGGTCAACAGCAAATGTTTAAAAATTGTGCCACCTACGGGAACAAGTTCTGATTTAACAGTAAATTTTGATGAAGCAATCAAGGAATTAATCCACCGTGTGACTCTAAAATATGATTTAAGCTTTTGCGAACATTTTCATATTTCTATTATGAAGACGTTCACTTTATATTATAGACAGGCAGTACTCGTAATGTAAAATGACCCTTCAAATGTCATATAATATGCTTATGCTATCAGCAGTACTACACGGCTGGCCATCATACGCATTTTAAATTGCAATATTATACCCCATTCGTAGTCCATTTATGCGCCGGCACAACAAAGGTGCAGCACGGCAAAGCGGCAGACGCCTAAGCGTTGCAATAGGCCATTAAATTACGAACAAGTGAAGGATTCGACAGGATAGAACTCAGGCTCGGGGTATCGTCGGCACGCCGATGCCGGCAGTTGCTGTTTATATTCGATGCATACACATTTATGCGTTAGCATGTCGTCTACGGATACAGCAGATGAAACTGAGAATAATGCTTCCTTCAGCCAAGAAGGGATATCTGAATATTCAGACAAAAGAAATTGTCCTTAACGTTTATAAGAAATTTTAGAGCACCCTGAAATGAAAATTCATAATATTGGAAGACGTGTGACAAACAAAACAGGCTTATGTCCTAAGACAATTTTCAACGTTGTTAAAGAATATAAAAAAACAAAAAATTGTCTCTACCACACAACAGGGTGCATTACACGAAGCTGTTGGATACAGCTTAAAACTTTGATCGGAATGCCATCAGACGCAAGGAGTCCATCATCTTTTTGAAAGGCAGGCACTTCCTACCATAGACAAAGTATTACAGGAGGTTAATAGTGTTGAAGACTTACCTACATCCAAAAGGAACAACATTCTATAGTTCACTCAGAGAACTTCATTTTGAGTATAGAAAACGGGTCAGAAATAGTATTTTGGTGGACAGCCAAGAGATCATTTTATGGAGAAGACATTATTTAAGGTCGATAAAGAAATACCGCGATCAGGGCAGGACGATTTATTACTTGGATGGAAGCTGGATAAATGAAGGACATACCAAACCTAAAGTATGGGCAGACTCTACAATTAAATTAGCAAGACAAGCTTTCTTGGATGGACTAACCACTGTCCTAAAGAAAATGTCAGCTACATGTTTCTAACCAATTCGTCATTTGTGTAGTAAAAATGGTATCAAGTAAACTGAATCTATAAGCCTACGCTGAGAACCTAGCTACACTACCCTTAGCAATATCTAGTAGATTTGGAACTAATACCTGTTAGATACTCTGCTTGTATTATTATTAGTTTTCTTGAATACTATATGAAATAATTATTTCCAGTAAAAGATAACGATTCGTTCTCTGTCATATTGCGCCGTGAAGACGGCTTTGTGCCCACTGCCTATGGGCATTTGAGTCAAAGAAAACGACCGACTACCATGAAGAAATGGACGGGATTTCACTTGAACGACGGTTTAAAGAAAAGCTGTCATTGTACTTGATAATGCTTCATACCAGACTAGAAAACTAGAAAAAATTCCCACGATGTCCACAAGAAAGGCAGAAATTCAACAAGGGCTCCTATCAAAAGACATTAGTTTCTATGAAAATACGGTCAAAGCAGAACTTATCCATCTAGTAAGACAGCACAAACACAAATATAATCTTAATCTTATTGACGAAATGGCTAAAAGCCAAAATAAGACCCTTTTAAGGCTACTCCTTCTGCCGGCCCAACCTCTCGCTCCCTACTTATAATGATACCTCAGCTGCGTAATACTCGCTTACGTTTGGTTCTTATGCACCTATGAGGTACCAATATATGGTAAGCATGAAGAGTCTCGCATATTTTTGAATTACACATATATAACAACAAGATAAAGAATCAATTATGATATCGTTGTTAGCTTTAAGTGAGTGAGCAGCTTAAACGTCCCACGTATTGATTAGAATTCAGCAAAACAACGTTTGTTGTGCTTGATAGAATGTGCCATATCGCAAGTTGAACGGTTCCATTAGGTGCGTTTATGTAAACCTACCCAATGAGCTACTTTGTTGGCTACCATTTCATTACCGATAAAAAACCTATATCATAAGCAACGAGTATTTATCGTGGTAACATCAGATCATTGGAATACCATCATGGGTCAAGTAAATCGACTACGAATTGGTGGTAATCCCGCAAAAGGTTAAAATGGATCTTGTAGGCTGATAAAGGCAGGATAAAGAAAAACTGGTGACCAAGAGGCAACCTGTGGCCACTCAGCTAATATCCGTTGACAATACGAAGAACTCATCCTCTGAAAACTCCACTTTCTCAAAATCATATGTATCATACACATACATATGTATGTATGTATGTAAATATGTATGATGTATTTATGTACATATAGTATGTATGAATTTAGAATATTTCAAATGAAGACCGGACGCCTAAAAAAGGAGGATGTTTTGTCTTCAACTTTATCTTTAAAATAATTATTATTAACAGAGAGTTTCAGAAATTATGTCCTCAAATTAGGGCAGGGCGGGGTTGAATATCTCTATAGGAAACCTTATCATTTTTCAAGTTTATAGAAATAGAAATTTCCTCTCAGAAGCTATTTCACATATGATCACAAAATTCAGCAGGGAGGTACTTTATGGACGTGACACATGTCAGCTCAGAACGGCTTCCGCGACAAAGCTGGATTAAGGGGGCGGCTAAGGGCAGATATGTACAAAAGCGAAAAGATACAAACTAATCACGATATTTCGGAAACTATTTCACCTAGAAATATGAGCATTGGAATTTTTGCACTGAATGGATTTTGAGGTAGTGCCAAATTAGAGGATTAAAGGGCATTTGCAAGTTTGTTTGAAATTGCTTGGAGTTTTGTAATAACGATGAGGTTCTGTTCAGGGTAGACTTTTAAATTAAGGATGAATGAATTGTGTAATCGCAAACTTGGCGGAGAGGTAGCTTTTGCAGTGTAAAATTTAGTTTATTTTAGAATGCTAATTTAAAAAATTGGTAATATTGTTATTTTGTTAGCTTTCCGCTGGGCGATTTTACCCCTGCAGCTCATAGGTGCCTACATTAATAAAATAACAAAAACAAATTCCCCAAGCGTGCAAGATGAGACTATCAATTTACTTATGTATTCTATGTAACTTTAGCAATACATGAAAAGAATGTTGTATGTTAGTAACAATGTAACGCGTACGAAGTTGAAGGCGACAGCTAGAATTGTATAATTTTAAACCATATGTATTAAACCAGGTTAGCTTGAAAACTTTAAACAGTTAAACTTTATCCTCACCAAATGTACTTAACTGGCAATTTTAATTTTTTCCAATTCCTTCTTTCCTAGGTATTACATGATGCTGTTTCTGAAGCGCTAACATACGATGCCGCCCTCACGAGTGAGTTGGCGGTTTTGCCTTTGCGGGACCTGAACACCCGACTGGTGCATTCTCCCACGGGACCCATAGACTCTGATTATGGAGATGTGAGGCTGTTCAAAAAAGCCGCAGCTGATGGGATCAAGAGGGCACTGAAGAGTGGCATGAAAGCTCCACTGCTTGTCTTGGAAGAACATTCTAGGTTCCCGAGAGCAGAGCTGGTTACCCTGTTGGGAGCACTTGAGGCGCTCTATGTGGTAAGTATTTTTGCTGATTCTAGCCATCCTACGTAGGGCTGTTTGAACAAATGCGAAATTTCAAAGACATATCTAAACTCAACAGCTTGAGTGGAGAATAATATTCAACCCGCTGTCATTCTACAGAAAATTACATCATCTCAAAATAATTTTGTAGTATCAAGAAATAAGTTTATTTTTGCGAATATAACTATATTGGCTCAATCACACGTTCACAGATTCACCCATACAAAGTGCTTTCAGTGAAGCACGTGATACGCTTCGGGCTCTAATCGGTCTAATCGTAAAACCGTGCGCTTTTGATTCATAAAGGGGCAATCGATAATTTAGGCGTTATTTCTAAATCTATTGATTAAATATAGTGCGAAAAAAATCGCGCCACGTAGGAACGTTTTCAGTATTTTATAGCTTCTCGAATTTGCAGCTGTTTTGTGAAAGTCATTTTAAGGCCGACCCTTTTTTCTTCATACGTTTAACCTCGGAAATCGAAAGGGTAAATCTCTAACTTTGGATATGGCCTGGACCATGAATATGACCAGATCGATCAGTGACCCGGATAGTGAAGGCAAGATCGATCGGTGATCCAGCCAGTGAAGTCAATATCATTGCTTATTTCGGCTAACGAAAGTTAATGAAGACATCTGCTTTCAACACGTGTTAAAAGTGTTTCCCTCAGACAGCTTGATAATGAGCAAGTCTTGTATAAAACGCCTGAGTGGCATCGTTGGGTGGCATCACGTCTGCTGATCCCTATTTGAAAAACTTCTAATAAGTAGAGCTGAAGCAAGACCCACTTCCAGACAATGATTTTGATATTCAAGGTAATCAGTAATGTTGCTGATGACTCCGCCATCTCCGGACAGCTATCATTCAATGTACCCAGGTCGACATCTAGTCAGAACATTACGTTCTTGCTTCCTGCAACACGCACAACCCATCTGCATTATCGTCGATGTTTCCAATTGCATTGATATACTGTATTGCTTCACCCTCTAAGAGCTGTTTGTTGTTTGGTGTTGGAATAAGCAAATAAAATAAATGTCCGCCTCACGTAACCATGCTTATACCATTTTTTGTTTTGCTTATGAAGCCAAAACTGGCCAGATACGTACGCCACTGTAGAAATTATTACTTTTTGAGGCTGACCAAACTGAAGTTCCAATACTGCCATTTGTTTCTCTGACACCAAACCATAAATTCAAATCGTGTTCAGGTAATATCTGACGCTTATGGGCAGATAATCAAGCCAGCTTGACACAGAGCGTTGAGGGATACTTTTTTGCCAATTGTTTTGGTCAAGTGAATTGAACGGTTACCACCCGTTTGAAAATCGTTGATATAACATGGCCCATATATGCAAGGTTAGAATGCCGGCTAACTTTGATTTTACGAAGCCATGTACAGTGCAATTGCAGCACACATAAGGCGAATATCGCACGATTAGTACCATACCATCTGTATTTACTGATGATTCCGTCAGAGTCAGTGGATTTCTAAACCTTATAAATCCAGACTAACTGACATTGAGACTGCATGGTCAATAAATATCACATTCCATGGTAGACACTTACTGATTACAGTAAATATTGACCGTGTGTCGCATTCGCCTAAAAGACAATGATATTAATACTAGTATATCATGCACTGTATATGCTTTGGTAAATTCCAGATATTAAACAATCGTTCGAGTATCTAAGAGATAAAAGTAACTGGACGTGTGTTTCTTTGCTTATCAAAATATGCATGTATGAGCAAGATAAGATGGATCTCGACAGAATAAAAGGTACAGAAGAACGAGGCACATTCCTTAAGGGGACTGGGTTTTACCGATTTTTTTCCGAAACCAGTGGAACATTTTACTGTCTGGCTTGTCTATAACTTGGAAAGTATTACGGGGATTGTGTTGAAATCTTAATATATGTTCCAAATAAAATATATCTATTAGCTGTGTCCGACAGGTTATTTGTATGTTGTCCTTTCACGTTATATTCAACGTTATAAATCACAATTTTTCCCGTTTTTTTTGTGCTTTCAAAAACTTTGAGGAACATTACGGGAAATCGCGACAGCTCCCGCGTAGTGTGCAATTAAGCGACATCACAGAAAAATTTGTATTGTATTTTCTATTGACATCCCAAAATAAATTTATATAAAACTTAAATGTCTGGAAATAAAAAATAATGTGATAATCTGCTCACTTTCATAAATATTCTTGCCTGTAGCATATTTTCTCACCTGTTACTTCGCCAACGAGGGATTTTCGTTGATTATTTCTCTCATTTTTGAAATTCAGCAAACTTGCATTTGAGACAAGAAACCAATGGAATTATCATCAACACTTATTAGCAGACAAATCCTCACTATGCACATAAGCACTGCCATTTCCTTCCAGATATAGTATAAAACTCACAGCTTAGACTTCCAATAATGCCTTCTCCGCAGCAGATGTTACATCATATAAGAGCCAAACATTGGTAACTGAAGCATTATCACGTTAAGGCAACACGTACAACTACAAAATGAATTCACAACAAGTGTCCATCAGCTATCGCTGAGTTAACATCTGCTAGAAAAACCTACGTTATGTCAAAAGAACTGACAAAATGTCATTTTTCAAGATACGTAATACCCGTGCTGATCATTTTCAGAAATTTGTTTCTAGAAGTTAAAAATCAGAGGTATTGTAGGGGGCGTCGTAGGGTATATCTCAGTTTCTTGGCGTCAGTATATTTATATGCTGTCAGCCCCGGTAATCCTACGAACCTATTTTTAATGCACACGTTCCACGAATTTCGACGAACACACACATACCTGCTTCGAGGTATTCGATCGATGGGTGGCTTCAACATTGTGCTGGATTTGTGAATCCATATGTTAGACATATCATTCTATGGATCTGATTGACTGACTTGATTCAATTAATTTTTTATACATGCTTGTTTTTTATGCACGTTTGTAGCTTACTTTTTTCTTAGAGGGGCTAACTTGTACTAAACATGATCCTTTGTGAACTGATTACAGTGTTGCGTGAAATGCGCAGTTAACCTACTTGACGCCATCGCCGATCAAAAGTTTTAATGGGTACAAACCTCGACACCATTGAGAGTTGCCACATCTCAGATGTGTACAAGTTTGACGCAGGGAAACAAGAAATTGTCGTAGGGTAGATTTCTTCTGTTTACGCATGCACCTGCTGACGAGTGCTACTAACCCAGTTTTGATATCCTTGACAGGTAAGTCATGATCTGCATGTCGTATATGCCATAAGAAGGTAGTAGATGCATGAGTAGTAAGTCTATATTCGAAACTGCGTCTCTTATATACTACCCTATTTTAGCATGCATATATTCATACAAATCGTGGCTTACCTGTCAAAGAAGTTTGCCGTTTTTAATGACAACTAGGTTTTTGCAAAACAAAAACATCAACATGGAACTAGCTGTCATTCACTTCACGTCACTTGTAGAAGCTGTTCATGTTGCCTGAACGTTTTGATACTAGAGCTCTCATGTGGTATAATATCTACTTCAGAGATACGCCTATTAGAGGTCATTCATAGCTCATATGGACTACGCTGTATGTTCTATACTATTACCTGAATGTTGGTCGTTGTGCCATTCCTCCATAGGTGGTGCTCATAGCCAGTAGGTACAAAATGGCATAGCGACTACTTAGTACACAAGTTACATTATACCGATATTCAATGACATTATATCGATTTTTTACCGAATACCCCTGAATGTTATTGATTCGTCGTCGAGTATCGAATCGGTGCATAACGCATTTGCTGTTAGCTGCTCCAGTGGTTTTCGGCTTGAGAGTGATATATGCTCCAGAACTGTTCTAGGAAGAATGCGTGGGAATACAAGGTGCAGTAAAACAATTTTTTGTGCAGAGTACTATCGAGATACTCTGACTAACCCAGATGGGTTACCGGAAAGCAGCTCTACTAGCAAAGTATGTCGGACAGTTTGCCCGTGTGTCGGCCTGGTTGCTCAAAAATCAGACAAAGTCCAAAGAGTATCGAGCTCGTAACACTCGTCGGGAAGTGCCATACATGGTGCATACACTATAAATCTACCATACGTTAATTCCTATTTGCTATTTTAAAAAGTGTATAGTGAGGCCTGCACTCATTAACACTTTTTATCAGTATTAAAAAATGTTTTCATTTTTTTTGAGAAAATTTTACTTTAATCACATGTCGGAACACTTAGATCAACAATAATAGTATCGTGTCATCTTTTATCGGTATTATCTTTAGAATATATTGTATAGAAGGAAAGGTTCAGCAGATTAGGTTAAGAGTACCCATCGTTAATTGAATATTCAGTCAATTTATTGATCAACAAAATTTCTACAACGTTTTTCTGAAGTCATTACTAGACTTGTGAACAGTAGTCCATTTATACGAAAGCTTTACAAAAATTAAAAAAAACAAAGTAACAAAAATGAATCAGAATTGTCGCCTGTCTCAAAGTTAATACCTCCAATAGGTTGGCTAGCTATGCAAACTAACTTACTTGCACTATCTGTAACATCACAGACTATCAACTTGAAGTTTGAAACCAAACATTCATCACTATTTTGTTGTTGTTGAAAATATCTTAACATTTAAATAAATATGAATCATAATGAAGAAAGTATGAACTCTTCTTTGATCTGTAGTAATTGTTGTTGTCATTTACATAAATGGTTGGATGAATTACTATTTTCCTTCACTTTTTTCTGTTACTACTATTTACAGAGATGTTTAATAAAGTTCCACTATTCGTCCAAATAGGGAACTTGTAAGTCGTTTTGTGGATTATTTTTGTTAATATAATACCGTGAACCATCTTTGATTCATGGAAATGTCTAATTTTTTTTATAGAATATTTAAAGCTTCAATACCAATGTCGTTGATTTTTTACACAACATCATGATTTTTCCAAGACAGAGTAGGAAAATTGTAGAGTTCGGAGTAACTAATACATTTTTGGTTAAATGGATGTTTTCAAGTATGCGCCTGGTAAACTGTGCACTTCAAATCTACAGAACTATCGCTCCAACCCAACACAATTGAAATAATTTACTACACGTTGCGATATTTCAGCTTGCTTAGAAATATGATCGCTAATGGGAGTTACTGAACATTCTTCATACAACACAGATAAGTGAATTGTTGTCATAACGATTATTAAATTTCACGATACAGACAGTATAAATACTAGGATTTCTATAAATGTATGGCTTATCACATATACATATAAATATTTGCCGAGATATACAATTAAAATATATCACTATGTTGCTCGGATAACAACATTATCTGGAAATTATCACTGCCAGGAGACAAAAAAATCTTGAACAGTTTAATACTTAAAAAAGACACAGTACCGTACCTTGATCAACAAGAAGCGCCCTAGCGTCCATCCGGTTCCTATGCATGGCCGAGTTATGCTAAATGGCAATTTGTTTAGGCTGGACAGAGTCCAGATCACCGAGGACTTGATTTGGTAAGAACACATCTCTTTAATCGCAACAGCTGCTGGAAAAAAGTCAGGTTATTTGTTCAAGCCTAAACAGTACTTTTCTCCAAAACCCAAGTCCTCACTCTGTACAAGGCCCAGATAACATTGAGCCTCGAGTACTGTCGATGAAACTTCTCGAACGGACAGTCTAAGACCCTTTCGCATCGACAAGCCGTCTGCAAACTAGCTCTCTTGCACTGCTGTGTGAACGAGCTTTACTCTTCAGAGCTGCGTGTTTTGCCCGCTAGGCGAACTCGTCAGGCTTTTGCCTCACGTCCTAACTATGTGGAGAATTGTTGAGATTGTGGAATCAATTATTACATCTTCTAACCAGCTGCACTTCTCTATTTATTTTCTCATCGAAACGTCTATTGTAACGTTCCTTCAAAAATGTCAATTTTCGACTCATGATTTATGTATTATCTGAAAAGCTACGAATCATCGTATATTCGCCGAATTCTTTTAACCTACGCAAATCATTATTTTAGACATTTCGTTACAATTACACAATTGCCTGAACAGACGCTTAAGTTACTTTTTATTATTCAAGACATCGTATTGGCATGTTTGAATGAAATCGAGCACTTTGTTTCTGATATCACGATAATCTTCACATCGCCTCATGAGAAATTTGATATTTTCCGTTATTTCATTTTGACCAGAGGCAAACGTATCGTGTGCAGATTGGGAGCATTAAAAAGTAACCATAACATTAGAAGGAAACCATTGGCTCAAAAGTAAAGAAATCCTCTTGTCCATATTTTTCCATTGTTATTTCAGCTTTCCGCAGTAATATTTCTTTCTTCTTCTTCAGTTTCGCTACTTTAATTTTCAGTGTCTTCATCAGAACTAGAGAACGGCTTATGCGATTCGTCTGCCTCTCCACTGTTGTGAAATGGATTTTCTTCTGAAGATGACTCTCCAGAGGCAGTACTTTATTCATCTGGTGAAGATATTTCGTCTAAATTCTCAGCGAAGTATCGATGTTCAGCGTCAGTCAGCTTTTCATTTTTCTTTCTTGATATACTAAAAAAATTAATTGGGATATAAATAACCCTGTCAACAAACCCACTGGGACACATGCCACCCAGACACAAATATTGCATCAAATCGTGCCAAAAAATTAATTAAAAATATATAAAAATGTTGCTATAATAGACTAGCAACTTACCTGGAAAAATCTCTCAAATAAAAACAAAACAATGGTGAAATTTGTACAAAAACACGCCAAAAAGCCGACCACGTGCTATTTCTGCGTTGTTTTCAAGTACACTGGTCCGCGCAAAGCATGCCGCCGCGAGCGAGAACCTTGCTAATGCTTCAGAATACCCATTAAAAACCATGCCTTTGTAATACGGGACATATAAAGCACGGTGGGTGATTTTAAATCATACGTTGGGATTTATATGTCCCATTGGGGCTGAAAGGGTTAAAGGCGCGCTGTAACGGTGAAGCCATCAGGTCAGGAAGATGACTGTATTCGTTTTAAAGGTCACCTTATGAAATGTGTAAAATCACGAAAAATGTATCCCGACGCGGACGCTAACATCAACCACAATCCCGTTGTGACGGTCAGATCGACACTGTAAGACTTGATAGCAATGAGATCCAGACCGATATATCCTGTAAGCTCGAGACCGGATTGAAATTTACAAACTCAACCTGAAACCGAAATATAACCTCAGTGGAAAGAGATAGAGGAAATACTGACGGATACACAAGAGAGCCACATATGATTTTCATACTCTCATAAAAAATAATCGTTGATCAATGATTATACAAAATGGAAGTGAGGAGGCCGCACAAAATAAGTAACCCCGTCCGATACAAACAACTGGACACAGAAGTAAGAGAACCGTGTTGGAAGGCAAAAAAACTGTAGCTGGTGGAGATGTGCAATCAAATCGAAGAGCTTCAAAATAAGCACGACCTTTTCTGTCTCCACAGAGGGTTAATTATTGTACTTAAAGGCGCCTTAAACGACCACTGGGTACTTTAAGAAACTACAACAATAGTTATGTTGGGTTATTTGTCATACAATTCTTAATGCTGCTAAATGAAACATTGAGAGGTTGACATAGGGGACAAAAGTTACTAAGGGGAAATTATTATTCTCTATATCAGATATACAGATATGGGTTTTGTGTATTTGATTCCTTGATGTAATGAAAATGGGCACTTGCAAAGAAATTTTGGAGATTCCGCTCCTAAGGGGTAAAGCGGGGTTGATACTCTTGAGGCTGAAGGACATAGAATATTTCAAATCAGGTCATTCTACAACTAGGAGTCTGTTTTGTCAGAAATAAAAAAATATTATTAAAAAACTGAGAACTTGTATCTTTAAGATGGTGAATCCGGAAATGGAATCTAGCAGGGTCGGATTAATAGAGACATTTACAAGTTTGCACGAAAGTCCTTCGTATTTTTTGGCTTGAGATAATTTGGCTGGAAGGTAGTTTATTGAGGGTACTCCCGAATTTGTTTGAAAATATTGCTAGATACATTGACAATACTCTAGAGATGGAGTAATAGTAGTAAGACGGATTTTATAATACGGATGAAAATGGACTTATGAGCCGTTACAGTTTTATATATGGTTTCCTTTACTAATAAGAGTCTAGGCCTGGAAGTATTCTTGACAATGTAATATCTGGTTTATTCTAATGTGTTAATTCCGGAATTATAGTTATTTTAGCAACATTAAGCGTACGAAGTCGCGAGTAAGAGCTAGAGCGTGCATTAACCGAAGAATATATCAAATTCTATTGATTCATGGTATTTTAAACCAGTATACATGGTTCGTGAGATGTTCAACTGCATTAGTGCGTTTTAATAATAGAAACTAGAACAGTTTTTAACTGTGTATTAATGCTATTATAACTTCCAGCCAATTCAAGTGCGAGAGTCTGATCCTTCGAAGGTCCAGAAGATTGATCGCATTGGAGTTCTAACGAGCTGCAAGCAGAAAACAGAAAAACTGGTCCAACTTGCCGATGTCTTGGAGTCCGGGCGAAGAGTAGCATGCGACATTGGAGATGCTGATCCTGAACGTATGGCACCTCAAAGAGTAAGTTACACTCCAGCGGCAGTTCTCCGATGCAATTTAAACATTACACTTCACAGATAAACGTATGAATAAAACATTTTGCCATTTTATACAGTCCCACTGGAGGAGGGCTAGTCAGCATAAGCAAAAATAGAAAGTCTATAATAGATATGGATATGGATATAATTGCCATACATAGTATCTTAGGCTTAAAAAAATTCAATAATTACGTAAGCAGTTATTTCCAATTATTAACCCCCCACCACTTGTCAGCAAAAGTAAGCAAATCTCTTACGTGTACGTAAACTTATGGTGCATTTTACAATTTGGAGCAAGTGTTGCCGTACATATTTTGGATTCCATATTCCTTTTAATGTCTGGAAAATCAGGAGGAGTTGGCTCTCTCGACCCAACATACTTTGGAGTAACATGATAACCATCAATGTCTATTGAACTCCTCACCTTTGCTAATACATTTCCGTCAAACCCGAAATTGGAAATATTCATTATCCGTAACGCCACGTTCATCCGAATGATACCCTAACCTAAATGGTCATGAAACAGTATCAAACCAGCCAGTTCCCGTCTAAGACGAGCCATTCTGCGCTTCAGTCGGTAATCCGCACTTCTACCAGGAGCACTTCTACGAGTAGCTAAGGTTCTAAGAGAGTAAGCATAACCACATTTGAGGAAGATACGTTTCGCTTTCAAGGATAGACAAGCAGGGTTGCCACATGTGTTCAAATAAAAGTTGGCAAAATTTTGTATTATTCCGAAAAAGTCCAGTCTCACAACTCCTCATGGAAAGTCTTGTTTCTCGCAAAAGTCCGACTTACTGCAAAAACTCGGGGCCAGAATCCGCATTTCCGTTAGTTCAGGGTGAAGCTTTCTTGGAATCATAGATTTCAGTATTACTTCATTCACTGATGGTCAGTTTCAACTAAAGCCGGGGCCGGGGAGCCGATCTAACCAATTAGTCTACAATTTTCAAGATGGACTGTTAGAGGCAAATTCAATGTTATCCACGCCACTGTTATTGTGTCATTTCAAGCTTCTTGGCGCCCCATCTGACGGCGCTCAGGTAAAAACTGTTCTAGCCCGGCTGTACTGTGGTAAGTGCCCACGAAAAAGCGGCTTGTTTCATTAGAACACCGCCAGATGGGGCATTAAGCAGCTTGAAGGAAGAGAGGATCAGTGGCGTAGGTACGATTGAATTTGCCTCTAACAGCCGATCGTGAAAGTTGGTTGAAGGCTGGAGCTCTAGAGTAATTGGTTAGGTCAGCTCCACGGAATTTAAAAATCCCCAAGTCCTAGTTAGTAACACCAATGCACCGATCCAACCAAGGCACTTCTCTTTTTTACTTTCTTCGTCCTTCTTTCCTATACCTAATACAAAGAGCAAAAGTCCCACAGACATCTCTAACATACAATCATGAATAGAAGGCATTTCGGTGAACGAAGCTTTGCAATAAAAGATAGACCTAATTACTATTATATAACCCACAAGCCTACCATTTTGTTTCTATTATTGTTGTTATTTTTCTTAATCGTTTTATTATTTTACAGGTGGAAGAGTACGTCCGAAAAGTATTCGCTGATGGCACCATTAAGCTGGATGTGCTTAGCGATTTGCAGCATCTCACAAAAGAGTTTCCACTCTTTGAGGCAGTGAACAGAGCTGCAAGCGTTGTGGAGAGGCATCGTGGCCGGGTTATTTTCCTTGAATACGATCCGAAAGATAATGTTACTGAGACACTGTTCTTGGTAGGAAAAGGTAGGTAATTTCCATGTCCTGTGAGCATTAATGTAAAGCTACAGTAAATAAAATGTAATAATAACCCCATTCGGTCGTACCGTGTTTCTGGCTATAATTCGAAAACTAATGTTTTTAGTTATGAGTTACGTAAGCCAGATGGGAAGCTCTACTGTGATGGTCAAGTAACCGCCATCCGATGACGCTAATGTTATAGTTCCGTGGTCCTTCGATTCATGCTACATCTCGAAATGAAAATTCAGGAAAATACATTTTGCATAAGAAAATCAATCATAACCTGCCACTCCAAAAAACAAAGGCGTAATTTGTTGTTGTAAGGTGGTCTCAATATGAAACCGCGCAGTTTTAAACAGGCACTTTAATAAAACTTCGTTTTTTATACGTGGGCTTATTTGCGACACTTAATGCTGTTGACAAACGTTACGGTAGTTTCTTTGAGAAAACTGGTATTTCGGTTCCTAAGGGCTCAAGAAGTACTCTTTTGTCACTTTGCATCAGCATTTTAGTGGTGAGCATCCTAATTACAACTTCCAAAAACCTTAGTTATTCCAATCGTTTATAAGGCATGGATGTACCCTTGACGACGCATTTTTTCATGGTTAGAATACAAAAATTAATATCTCTTCTTATCAGATATTGAACCAAGTCTCTAGCAAGAGAGTAAGTCCAATGTGAGGCCATTTGGTTGATCCAAAGTCACTGGACAGCTGGTCAAAGAATGCCATTTTTCTGAAAAAGTTAGCAAAAATTGCAGACACGGCTAAGCATTCTCTCAAGTATTTTTTTTTCTGGATGTTGAGCACCACAAATGCTTTAACTTCTGACTATTAGTTTATATTAATCTTTATACATTTTGCAGTAAAACATAAATGTAGAAATCGACAATGTCTGACATTTTATTGTAATAACAAATTAACCGTTAAGCCAAATTCACCATATCAGGTTTTATTTTGAAGGCATTTTTATCCGCAACAACTTTTTTGGACCACGCATCAATAGTTTGTAACTATTTGAATATACACTAAAAACTTGTTTCTCCAAATTTGCCCTACTGTCGGATTTGTACCTCTTGGCGAGAGGCCTTTCCGGGTATCTTTATTTTTTCTTCCGAATTTTAAATGTCCTGTTCTATTATTACGGCCTAGGTAAGGGCAATCACAATTTCTTAGTCGTTGTGATTAAAGCTAATATTTCTTTAACTCACTTTACTAAACGATCAACTTCGTAACAATAACATTAAAATATTATTCGAGAACTTGCTGGAATCTACTTTAACCAAACTGTGCAATACCAAAATCCCTAAGCAAAACACTAACACATTAGCACCATCATATGGTTATAACTAGACTTGCACATTCAGGGTATGTCTGGCAGCATACGACAGGTAACACTTCTTTAACACACAGTCTTGAGCTGCCATCTCAGGGACGACTGATGGGTGACCCTAGACTTCTATGCTTATAATACCGTATATGTATATCTATTTCGCTAAGTTCTCCTCTTGATGATACGCAATTCCCGTTTCTCGGAATATGAGAGATTCAACAAACAGGAGGGTAGTTGATAATATTTTATAGCAACAACCTCTTTGAACTTTTATATGGGACTCATTTATCACAAAAACAACACAAAAATATATTTTTCTGTAGTCAGTTCTATCATTACAAGAAAATCAAGAAAAAGGTACTGAGTGAGTTTGGATCAAATGTACATTGGCCATTAGAACAGATGATCCCGTTAACAGCTCCCAGTTCAACGACATGTTGCAATTCCTGATTCACATTGAAAGGCTAACTGCCCGTGGCTAGATTAATATTTTGATGACAGAAACGCTTCCACTCATTACACAGACATCGTGGGTAGGTCATTTGTAAAGTTTACAGACTAGCAGTAAAGTCACTGGCTGAAAAACATTTCATGCTTGGTATTTCCAAAACCAAGACGTTGTTTTACCAACGGACAGACTCGGCAAAGTAGTCGCTCCAGCCGAATAAGGGATTATTCGGAGGTCACACGTGCCTAGCCATCGAGCTTCATCACTTATACGAAAACTGGTCAAACATTCAAAAAACAAAGTAACGAGGAATGCAATAAAGCAAAATTTCGCTTATCGTACTCTTAGTTTTGCATACTGTCAAACTTGGAGTTTGCCTTGGAATTCAAAGAACAAAGTCACGAAAAGAATGAAATTAATTGCTTTATTTAAAGCTCTTAGTAATAAGTGAGCTGTAGAAACAAAATTTCGATAATAGTACCTTTAGAATGGCAGACTGTCAAACTTGGAGTTTGTCGTGAATCATCCGATACTACTTCTTTATGCCAAAATTGGAGAGCATCTGTATATCATCCATTGTGTTCAGTGTTGGAAGATTTTCAATACCTAAGTACGGACGATATTGAAGAGGGTATGAGCTTTGATTTGATATAATCTGTCATTGTTGTTTCTTTTTATATACACTGCGGATTGAAAGCATGACCATTTTCTCTTTACTTTTACATGTCACTATTATACAAAGAGGTTTTGCCCAAATTGTATTAATGATGTTTGTGAAACTAGACGTGCTGTCATATAAAATACATGGTCGATTCTTTCTTTTACAAATAATCGGAGAATTGGAATAGAAGTCAGTTAGAAGTATTTAAAGTTTTAAATACTGCCATACTATGCAAGGTGGTCTGAACTGAAAACTCAACTTTTTTTAATTCTCTTTTGAGTGTTGAGCTGTGCGAGTGTGAGACGAAGATAAGGATAAACTGCTCTGACTGCCTACTGGCCCTACTATTTGTATTCGTTATACTTTGGTAATTTATATTTCTCTGTTTATTTATTCAGCGAATATTGGATACTTAATTAAGCTCCAAAGGAAAATACAAACCGATTTCGTTAAAGAAGAGAAATCGGTACTTCGTCAGTGAATGCACGCCGTATCATTTATCTACACCAGATTCTCATATAACTAATTGCCTGAAAGCAATTATCCACCGAGATGTTAATATATTTATGGAGCTGGTATTTTTGTAGCTTTAAACTGAAGCATTACAAATTGTGGTCTACTTACACGGAGTGGGCCATCAGTGGCGACGCGTGACTTTTCCTAGACTGTTACCAAAATCAGATGTGAAAAATTTTATTAAAGAAAGTTTATTTTGAACCTCCCAGATATAATTTTTTGCTTATTTTAGGTATTTTATTTAAACTATTTTCAAATTAAGGTAAACATTCCTGAACTGAGCGTCTGGGGCACTTGATATACATAATCGTCTTATGCCATGACTAATCCAAGCCGTCCGAAAAAACAGTCGACGTTTCTAGATGTTCGGAAAATTATTGATCTGTTTTGTCAATGAATGTTAACAATTTCCTGTAATTGCCTCTATTCTTAGAGGCATCCCCTTCAAAATGAACGGTGATTCCTGTTTTGCCAAAAAACATACGGTATCTAGAAGTGTGCTGCCTAAAAGCTTGTTTAAAACAACTTTCGATTCTTGTTTCGCCAAACTGAATTAAATTGGCTACACGTCTCACATGTAACGGAGAAATTTCATGTCTCCTCTTTAGAGCCCTAAAGCTGTTTCAATCGTTGACTCCGCTGCTGGTCCACCCATTTTTTTCTGTATAAAACAGAAGACCAACAATACAATCTGTTTTTTTGCAACCACATAAATAAGAGTTTCCATACACCAACTTAATTTAAAATATCAAAGTACGTTATCCTTTTTTTTTCTTAAAAATTATACACGGAGAATGACTTTTCAAGTAGTTGATCGATTACGCAGCGACACTCATCCTTGTTTAATTGCACGAACACTACAGCCCGTAACCAAAACTGCTACGAACGACTGAGAAGTGAGTAACCAAATCAAAAAATGGTAACAAGCCCACATAATAGTCGCGGCGCCCCACGCACTCGGCCGACCACTATCAGACACGAGCCGGTACCGACGGTTCCCGACGACCTACCAAGTGTATCCATAAATGAAAATGGTAACAACCGAACCGACAACCATGTCGAGGCGAGTTAGCTTCACCGTGTTCGCAAAACCTAGACACTGTAGGGCGCATTATTTTCGTGGGGCTAATTTGCTATTTACTGAATTACTATTACATACTGCTGTTGGTAAACAAATAAATGAAATTGTTTCACAGTACTTAGTCATAAAATATTGATTTTTAAGATTTTAAACTGATACCAATGGTAACAATGGTTACATGGAGGCTTCGCCACTGTGGGCCGTTCATTTTTGTACTTTTGAAATCGTACTGGTGGGAATATCGAGCGGGTGGTAGTAGCGGGGCCACTCACGTCTGGCTCCTCGCTTTTCGGAAATTCAGTCACAATGGCTAGTTTCACAGGAGAATAACGCGCGTTCTATATAAAATACTTTTAGAAAAACAATGATTCTGTTGCTCGCCTTCTATTTCGATCGCATTACGAATTGGACAGGAGTAATCAGTGCTCAAGTGTTAATTCAACCAAACCATGCGAAGAGAACGTGGGCGCAAGTTGACGTGCCTGTGCGAGATGATCCAAGCTTGTCGACACATTTTTTTTTTTATACCGAAGCAGTCGCGTAGGCAGAAGTCTAAATGCTGAGACACCGCGGCTGCTATGATGATCCAAAAGAAATTTTGTTAATTCGATTTTTGAACTGCCTAAGGTTAGTAGAACCGGGAAAAACTTCCTCTTGTTGATTGTTCCACAATCTCGACACCCTCGGGACAAAGGAACGGGACTGTCTGGCAGGCACATAGCGCGGCGGCATCATGGAAGAGACATCTGAGGAGCAAATCCGGTTGGTGTCGCGGTAGAACAGAGCTAGATCGCCGACGGCCCGCCGATGCGAAAGGGTCCCGAGACTGCCTGTTAGACAAGTCATCGATCAGTCGGACAGCCCTCCTCTGGACAGCATCGAGCATAACTACTGTAGTTGGGGCGGCAGCCCCCAAACGTGAGAGCAATCTGGGCCTTGTATAGAGTGAGAAGTACTTCTTAGCCCTAAGCTTTTTCGCAGCATCTGCCGCTATTGACGAGATGTGTTCGTGCCAGATCAGGTCCTCGGTTATCTGTACTCCGACTACCGAAATGAATGGCTCGTTTACTGAAATTCGACTTGAAACTGCATCGGTGGTAAAGGCACTTCAACAACATTTTCTTCTCGGGTGAAGCGAACAAGTTGTAGATTCTGAAATAGGGAAAACACCTAATTAAAACACCAAAGACTTTCAAATCGCATTATCGACCCATACTTTTTTGAAGATACACGTGGTAATTCTGTGACTGTCAATTTTGTAGAATACGTGAAAATGCTACGAGATTTTTTTCAGTCACAGTTGCAACAGTTTTTTGGTTACAATAGAACTTGGATACAACAAAGGGACGCTATCTGACATACATCCAGTAAGAATATATCAGTTGGGGAAAAATGTCCCATAACAAACTATTCTCGAGTAGAAGAGGCATTCCATGACCTCTCCACAACCCCGACTCCATGTTATTTCTTTTTATGGGGTTTCTCGATAGTGGTGCACACGAATGAGCCAACAACAATACGCCATCTAAAAGAAAACATTCGTCGAGACATAGCTAACATATCCAGTACTTTTGTTGAAAGGTTTTTGAAAATCTAAGGGCCAGGTTTGAGGAGCGTGAGCGAAGAGATAGCGGCCATCTGTAAGATATTATTTTTAAGACTTGATTTGCCAGTATATTTTTCTTCTGAATAAACGTCTAGTTGAATACAATCCATTTTTTGGCAAAGAAATTTAGAAAATGCCAAAATTTATGGCCCTCCCTTTATGCCTACATAACCGCTAAGTTGGGTAGTGGTCTGATTTTCTGGTATCAGGTAAAAAAAGTTATGCAATAAAACTTTGCTTCAATTCACTAACGCTAGCCCTTTTTGTATGTGTGTTTATAAAAAATGTATTATGCAAAAGTTGCAGAGTCTAACACAAAACTTTTCATACAATATCTTTTTTATATACCTACTTGGTGTCACTCCTATCGGATATTGTCCCGTTTAAAAATTCATCTTCATTCGCTAGGCTTATTTTGACACGTTCTATATACAAAAAAACCTAGGATGAAAACTTTATATTATATTCTATAACTTTTTTCTCATCCGTCATTGTTAAGCTACAGAGAGGTCAATTAACAGCGAGCCACCTTGTTTAAAACGACTGGTAGAAGTTATAGCCGGAACTGTCTGTCAGTGCTGGATAATGGATACATAGAAACCAGCCATCCGAGTGTAAGTTGGTCTCATTTCTACATAACCAACCCCTCTCACCTGGTACCAGCTAGTCGGACCACTACCCAGCTCAGAGGGTATGCCGGCGTTGCAAGTACATAATTATAAATGCTATTAGATGCCCCACGTTTTGCCTTTCATAGTAATGACTGGCAGCCCTGGAATCTTACTCTATTGGATCATTTGGTGTTATGACTTTATGACTTCTAAAAGTCCTGCTCACTAGAAGGTCAATTTTCAGGACCATGAAGTTGGATGTAGGTACCTGTAGTACTCCGGACTGGAGCGCCAATTCTCATGAGGAAGTGGTTAGAGATGGTTCAGATGCAAAATGACATATTTTGGCTTTCACCTTTTGGCCTTTAAACGTCCATTCTGGTATTAACATGATTTAATTTATACAGTGGAAACATATGATTGATAGGCGTATACGACGTCCTAAGTACCTGCCAGGCGATTTGAAAGGTATGCAATATAGAGAGCGTTTCCAAAACATGGAGCAAGGTTCATTGAGTGATTCATTGGATTATTCTAAGACTATTTGGTCTTTTGACATTATTTTGAAATACCGGTTTGTTCAAGAGTTAACGTACTGGAAATCATCTCAAAAAAGTTGTAGCGTATATGGCTCCCTAGTACCCCTATACAGGGTGTCCGCAAAGTTGGGGTTTTCCTTTTCAGAAACAACTACCCTTGAAATAACAAAGGTAATGTGTAGTGAAACGAGGGCGACCAAGTAAAAAAAATAAAGGAAAAAGTACTCACTCTCCAGTTGACGAGAAGGGCTAAGTACGTCTCTGCCTGAAATCGAAAGTTATTCACCCCATTACGCGTGAACGTAGATTCGTCTGTCACCAATATGCACTTCAAAAAGTCCGGATTATTGTCATGTTGATGCAACAACCACTCACAAAACCGCACTCTTGCTGGAATATCGTCAGGTTGAAGGGCTTGTACACGTTGGACGTTTACCACACTTTAGTTTTTGATACTTGCACTTCTCTAGCCACGTCTCTAGTGCTTGTTGAGGGATTCTCGTCTACGCGATTCAGTAGTTCTTCCTCAACTTGCACCATTCGTGGTTGTCTAGGCCTCCCACTGTGCCCACCTCGAAATTCCTCCAAATGGCCCGTATCCCTGACTCTCTGGACCAGGTACACAAATCTGCGGGGCCTTGGATGATGTCATCTAGGGAAACGATCTGCATACACTCGCGACGATTCTGTAGCATTTTGAAGACATTCGCCATAAATTAACAACATATCAACGAGTTCATTATTGGTGTATGAGTGTGCCATTATTATTTTTTTTTTGAAACGCAATCGATTATACTGGTTCGTTACCTCTATACGCGTGACCCTTTACCGTCGGTTGAAGGTTGCATACTGACCTGACACACTGACCCCGACCCCCGACCCAGTTCTGTCGTCGGGTTCAGCTAGTAGCCGGTACCAGTCTGGGATATCGCGGCGGGTCGCGGCTACAGGACGGTATTCAGATATTTTTGATGTTGCAGAGCCCTTTATCTCGGTTCCCTTAAGACATTGGTGTATATGGTACTAAGAAAAATTGCTTATGTTTTCAAGATCTACACGTCGTGTAAAGGAAAACCCCAACTTTGAGGACACCCTGTATATTCCTATGTAAAGGTTGCATCTGTAGTTCGCGCATAACTCATTGGTTTTTTTATATAAAGGGTGGGCAATCAGTTGGTTTTTTTAAGTTGGTATTATTTTGACAGTTGGTAACACTTCCATGCTCAACATATTGTTTCAAACTTCCGCTGTGAGCAACGGATCGTTTTAAAGCAATGGATCATTTTAATCTTGAACAAAGCAGGTAAATATTGAAAAACTATTTTCAAAGTGAGTGCTGTGTTCCAGAAACTTTTCGAAAATTGAGAAGGCTATTTGGACGGAATGAAGCTCCGTCTGCGACTGGTATACGAAAATTCGTTAAGAATGTTCGTGAAACTGACCTACTTGTGGATAACAGAAGCTCATACCTTCGATCCGTCCGTACAGCCGAAAACATTGCTGCTCTTGTCCAGAGTGTGCGTGAAAACGCAAGAATGTCAACTCGTCACAGAGCACACGTGGGCATCAGTCGCACTTCTGTGCGGAGGATATTGCATAACCACCTGGAATTATTTCCTTACAAGGTGCAAGTTGTGCAAGGGTTTAAACAAAATGACCATCCGCTTCGATTTCGTTTCTCTGTGTGGGCTCTAAATCAATTGGAAACAGACGTCAATTTTGGTCGCCAAATCATCTTTTCGGACAAAGCCCATTTCCAGCTGGGAGATTACGTTAACAATCAGCACTGTAGGATTTGGGGTTCTTAAAATCCACAAGTCGTCATAGAATAACCAATGCATCCGAAAAGAGTAACTGTTTCGGTGGCTTTTGGAGTGGTGGGATTATTGGTCCCTACTTTTTCAAGATAAAGATGGTAACAGCGTGACGGTAAACGGGGAACGCTATAAAGACATGTTAAGTAGTTTTTTGTGGCCACTATTAGACGACATGCACTTGCACAATCTCTGGTTCCAGCAGGATGGCGCAACATGCCACACCAGCAGTGAAACAATCGATCTTTTCCACACTAAGTTCGGTCATCGCGTTATCAGCCGTTTTGGAGACATTCATTGGCCAGCCCGCAGCTGTGATTTGACGCCCATGGATTACTCTCTATGGGGTAGTGTCAAGGACCGCCATTACACTAACGATCCTCACATAATTGATGTCCTTACTATCGAAAATGTGCTTCAAAATTGGTTTAAGAGGATGGACCACTGCCAGGCCAGCCGCTGCAGCCATTTAACTGAAATTGTTTTTCATAAATAATCGAAAGGTGTATTCTTTTGAATAAAGTATCGACTGTTACATATTATTAAAGAGTGTAGTTTTAATGCCAATTTAAAAAAGAAACCAACGAATGGCCCACCTTTTACAAACAATAAATTTGTACATACAAAAGTAGTGCTCAATAAAGAGAATCGCTATTTGATTTTTTCAAAAGAAGATGTTCGTGAAAAAATATCTAGAACTTGTTGGAAAAATGAATAAAAATTTCCTAAGGCATCCACATCTTTAGAGTTTGCTTTTTCCCTCATTGCTCTTCCTTCAAGGAACTTGAAAATCTTATAAAAGCGAGAAACATTTTATGCGCTCTTCTAATGAATTGATTTTGGCTGTATAGCGCCTTCCCCTCCACGTGTGCTAACGAGTGCTGGCCGCCACGTGCCTGTTCCACTCTCGAGTCTGCTACCAGTTATATCAGGTCTAGAGATATGTCTCAACTTCTAGAGCTTCGATAATTTTATCTAGAGACATCAAATATTCAAAGGATATCTTGATGTATTAAACGGGTACACTATTCCTGTTTGTTTCTCTTCTATTGGTGTCATTTTGTATGTCTTGTGGAAATCAGGTTTAGCTTGTCCGAACAATTTAAGTTCAGCCAATGTATTGTCGAATAAGCATTTTTCAATTTAGTGGCCGTTTCTAAATATGACGGACTCATGTTCACTACTTGGATGGTGTGACATATTTTTTAGAGACTCCTGTGGGTACTGAAAAAAGCTCTGAAACTAAAATATCATATAGCCGTTAGCGCTGCTCTTTGACGTTAAATGTTTGGGAGTGAGCTATGTCACCTAGATGCAAAGAATCGAAATAAAGCTTAAGGATAATAGCTTTGTTGGAAAGGTGTGTTGAATTACTTCCAAGTAAAACCAGCGTCATGAAAGTCTGTGCACGTAAACTTGAATAACATACTTTTTTGAAGATAACATTGAACAAATATATGGTAAAATGATTTGGGCAAGAAAATTTCCAAATTGGGCATTTCATGTAAAAAATTGATTTGAAATAGTGTTGGTCACAAGTATTTTCGAAGCAACCACGTATCCAGTTTTGAGGTTAGGACTACGCCCCTACCGGATAAATAGGAACTACGTGGGTCTGACCTAGAAGTTATTTCAAAGGTCTTAAAAGTATATTTCAGACAAAATAAAGATCATGAAAATCGATGCACGCACATAAAAGTTACATTACTTTTCCAAAATCGATTCCCCTAGCCTAAGCGAAACGAAGTAGAAAAGAATATGTAAGTAAAAAGTGTCATCTTGTCCATTCTATCCATTTTGTGTGTAGAGATTGGCGTAAGAGCTCCATTCTAGAAACTGGAAACTAGTTCCTGGCAATTTCTCAGGGCTACTTTTGTCATCATTATTTTACCCGCTAGTTCTGCTTCGATCATGAGGGCGATTATGGGATCTTTTTTGTAGGAGATACGTTTCTCATGGAACACTGATATTCGTGAAATGATTTGTAGTTTAGCATTTCGACCATTAAATTCACAAAATGCCGGTAAACACTGAATTAAAATACGATCACAGGTCAAGACGAGAAGAGGTATATCATATTCAATCACCCTTCACAATTGAAGAGTATGCCGGAACAACGTTCTAACCGCCAAAAGTTTAGTTTTGAGAAAAACGAAATAACGCTTTTCTATGTTTTACTCCCAAATTTTAGAAAGAAAACAGACGCGCTATTTACTAATAGGTATTTTAATATATTTGAGAAACACAACATCTTTTTATAAACCATGTTTAACAAATTAAGAGCCTTAGAAAATAAATTCCCTAAAACATATATACATGTCACTTACAACGTTTTTACACGGAAACGAGTCGTTTACAACCTTGTTTTACGCTTAATGGGTCAGAGTTTTTTTATTGAGATACATTGAACCTCACAAAACTGATGCATTGTTGCTACTCTTGTAAAAACTATTTTTATGAGCGGCAAGCCTCAAAGGATCACGTATGCAATTGCTTATATTCAAACTACTTCTCCATAACTTTTGTCACTGCTAATAACTGTGATCATAAAAATCAGTTCGAAAGATTATTAATTTCTGTAATTGCTTGTAAAAACAAGGATGTATTTGATAAACATTCACTGGCAACTTCATCATTTACACTTACTAATAGATGGAACTGGAATTAAAATGAAAACTTACCGTCATACTAAATAGTTCTTTAAATATTATGTCACTTGGCGCTTCTGTAGGCGCACCAGGTGGTAAAGCACTGTAGGGTATATATTATAGGTCATTAAACGAATTGAGTATCCAGCTGGTTAGCAAAAATATATTTAAACGCGAGACTGGTTCTTCTGCAGCTAGCATCTCAGCTTAGGTAGGATTACAGTGGAAAATTTAACGCGCGCATTAAGCTTTTTACGTTTTGATTAAAACTAGCTTGGTCTCGAAACTTTACGACCTAATAAAAATATCTTGTTATAGCCTGAGTTTTCAATAATCTCATACAGATAGAGGTTGATTAAGGCTATAAATAGATATAGACAGAGAAAAATTAATGTCGGTTCTTAGGCAGTTATATTAAGTTTATAACTTACCGTTTGTACCAGAATGTTACTTTTCATAATCCGTTGGCACCATCCAAAGATGGGCAAATAGTTTCCACATCGGTTGAGTAGAGATTTAGTTGTATCAAAGACTGTCACGAAAACAATGATGCCTGGAACATAGTAATATAATAATAGGAACTTGTTCATCGTCACATAAAAAACCCACTGTAAAACGTATAACATTAAATGTGTCAAAATGCTGTTTAAACATGTGATTTTTCTAGGGGTAGATTATTTTTTTTATATCCTTAAGGTAACGTTTTCGCCCACACTTGATTTTCTTTCAAATAAACTGAAGTTCTGAGGTTTTATTATGTCTATAGGCACACTAATGTGAGAGCTTGGACCTAAAAAGCTGTAACATCTCATAAATATTCTTTTATTTGGTTTTGCAGTATAATTTTGGATGGATTGCGTGAATCAAAATTATGGTCTCAATATGTATAGGTTCACCTTCTCGAAGTATAATTTGATTTTATGTAGTATAGAAGTTAAAGTTACAATCTAAGTCCAAAATCAAGAAAATCATTTTTACTGCCCTACAAAAGTTCACTTTGTGGCACATAGACCGCAGAATATTACCTGATGCGTGTATCGGTAACAAAGTGTACCTTCTTGGGGCAGAGTTCTAATTATCAGGTGCTTTGTCCATTGGTCACTCTATAGTGAACAAATTGTGAGTTCCGATGACCCAAAAACCAGACAATATTCAGGAAGAAGAAAAAGGAGAACGAAGTATTTATATTCGCACAGATTAACTTGGAGGTGCTCTAAACATCAATTTGGATTCCGGCTTTAATATTGTGTAATTTTGGGAGTATTAAATGTTCGTACTACAATGGCGCATGCCGAGGTCTTGAATACTCACATGGCACAGAGCTGCTGATCGATTCCGCCTGACTCTAAACTCGCTACGCCTGGGCTGCACATTATCCGCCAACCAAGTAATGTCAAGGACTTTGTGTAGTCTCATATAAGCCATGAGGCATTGGTAATTATTCATCAAGTAGTTAAAGACTTTGTATAAGCATCCAAGAAAGTACCAAGCCCCACCGGCATAAGTAATCATTTTGTATAGTGAAACAGGTTCAGAAACGTAATTCAGAAGATCTACATAGCAAGGAATAAAGTTGCCGAAATGCAGTTTGTAATTTGGTTTTTAACGCTGCCCGATCATGCCTTTGTTACGTGAAATTCTGAGATATTTGGCAGAAATTTCCGCGTACTGGAATGTTAGCTGCAACATCTTTTGGTACAATAAATAGCGCGCGTTTTCACTTAGTCAGTTTCAATCAGACACTATTCCGCCCACCCTAGTTCCGCCGCATTTTGCAGCCCGTCGTGGACTAGGTCTCGAGATCGCAACTGGTGCCACACATGCAGTATCGTCAACATAGGGACTACACTATTGATGGAGCTAGGAACGTAATGAATGTATAGAGAATAGAAGAGTAGTCCAAAGGACGAACTCTGGAAGCCACCGACTCGTTCCGTTGTGTTGCCGACACGACATTGTTTATTTTGGTCTGAAACTTCATACCTTCAATGAGGGATTCTCATAGTTACAGAAACGGCAAGCCCATTTTAAATTAGTTTATAGATAAAGCCCGCATTTCATAGTTTGTCAAAAGCTTTTGTAACATCCGCACCTGTTCCACAAGCCTGACTCAGTACTATGTTCAGACCGAAAGCCAAATTGCATGTTAGGAATGGTGATCCAACGAAAAATTCTGGAAGTAACGATACTTGTTTAGGGATTGACTATTGCCACCGAATAACCTCGGTGAGAGCGTTCTTAACGCCTTATTGGTGACTTGACTCTCTACCGGTGCAATATACGACCTCAGAAGGTTCGATATTTGATCATTTAGATAGGACGCGGCTCCAACTTCTACATTTCCTTCAAAGTATCTCTGTCTGACACGAATTTTTGCAAATCGTTGTCAAAACATGAATTATTCCTTCCAGGCGTGACCTACGACACAGGCGGTGCTGACGTGAAGATCAGCGGCTGCATGATCGGTATGTCCCGCGACAAATGCGGAGCAGCTGCAGCTGCAGGTTTCATGGAGATGGTGCGAAGGTTGCAGCCGAAGAATATCCGCGTGGTGGCAGCCATGAGCATGGTACGCAATAGTATTGGAAGCAATAGCTACGTGGCTGACGAAGTCATCACTGCCAGGTCTGGCAAGAGGGTCAGGGTCGTCAATACGGATGCTGAGGGAAGAATGGTCATGGCGGATCTACTGTGCAAGGTAAGAAATTTCTCGCTATAAATTGGAGAAGCAATTTATTGCAGCCCAGATGCAAGCGTTCATCATTTATTTATTTGGTCCAGTAGACTTTCACAAAACTGTGAGATGTCACAAAGAGGGTAAAATCATACACACCCAAACTAATGAATCACAATCACTCCAGTAGATTTGGAATGATCTAGCACCGGCCCTAAAACATTAATGCTATAGAAAGTATACAACCATGTAACCACTTAAGGTATCACACCACAATGATTAAACCATTCACAGACACTATAAAAACACCCTACCAATAAAAACAGTTTTAGCCTATTCCAAAATTGGAACATACATTTGCAGAACTGACTGGTAACGATATGTAGAACTTGATTCCCACGTTCAAGATATTTCTAATAGTCCTGACAAAGTTAAGATTTCTGGTGGGATGTCTGTAGACATCCTTATTTCTAATGTGATAACTGTTGGAGATGTCACAAAGAGGGTAAAATCATACACACCCAAACTAATGAAGCACAATCACTCCAGTAGATTTGGAACGATCTAGCACCGGCCGTAAAACATTAATGCTACAGAAACATGTAACCACTTAAGGTATCACACCACAATGATTGAACCATTCACCGACACTATAAAAACACCCTACCAATAAAAACAGTTTTAGCCTATTCCAAAATTGGAACATACGTTTGCAGAACTGACTGGTAACGATATGTAGAACTTGATTCCCACGTTCAAGATATTTCTAATAGTCCTGACAAAGTTAACATTTCTGGTGGGATGTCTGTAGACATCCTTATTTCTAATGTGCTTGCCACTGTTACCACTGGTGAATAGTATATATTTCTAGATATACACACACACGGAATAATACACATAATAATTTGTATTTTTTAAAATACGGTCTACAAGATCCTCTCGACAGTAAGTTAAATATCAAACGTATAACGCATTTTTGCGCTACAAACTATCGTTGAGCATCTGAAGAAACGCTCCAAGTTAAATAGAAGATGATATGTGTGGATAAAATATTGCGTAATATACAAATATTATAGATACTGCTTTTGCTGTTGCATTGCAGAATAGGATCGATCAATTGTTTTACATAGAAACGATATATTGGTCATTCAACCTAAACCTATAGTTCCAAAAGTGCCGAGAAATTTGGCATCTACACCTTAGGAAAAACCATTGTTATACATGGGAAATCATTTCTTGGCAACAGCGCAGACCTGTATCACGAATGAGAATAATAGGCAGATACGCTGTGTTGCCAATTTGAGTAGAGCTTCCCGAATTGTGGGGAATTTAGAGTTAAGTGTTGATTCATTCAAGCTTTTAATCAGCATGGCCTAGACGTTAGAACTTCATAAAGATAACATTGAAGCTGAATGCTGCTGGAGTATAGTGTTTCGAATATTCAAAGCGGAGCGGGACACTATACTCGTTCAATGAGTCATCAAGCCACAGTCTTTTCAACAAAGAAATTATTTTACGAAAATGCGTTATATTTTTACGATTTTTTCGTCACCAAATCTCTGTTTCTCAAAAGGTACGTCTATTGTAGAATTTTCAGCAAACTAAGCAAGAAACGTGATCTAGTATTTACTCAACATTACGGATTTCTCGAAATACATTAAAAAATGTGACCTAGATACCTAACTGCCCCAAGCTCTTTAAATATAACACCTTAAACCAGGGTTACCAGGTGCTCAGTCATGTTGATTGTCATGTTGTACTGCGCAAGTCAGCAAACAATCTGGCGTAATAAACGTTAGGAATCATCAGGTATTGCCAGATTCCCGAATACCGGGCACCATAGTAACCGTTATAGTTGTCCTTCAAAGTTGTCAAATCGCCCCTATGGCGCAAATTCGCCACACCAGGCAACTGTGCTATAAACAAACCCTGTTCATCACTACTATTTGATAGTCATATGGTAGTTGTAGCCCTATCTAGCGGTCCATGATTTCTCTCAATACTGTTGTATCTCTACTGGCAACAAGAATATGGATTACAAAATCATTTATACAACAATATACAAACATGAAAAATATGATTTGAACCATGAAACATAAATACAATTTTAATAGTTTGAACTTTTTTCATTTTTGGAATACTCTTATGTGGAATCCGCAGCTATTTTTCCCTAATTTTGGGTAGACATAGATTTCTTAGAAATATGACATATTGGTATCGGCAACTCTGCGAATGGGAGAAACAAATCGCATTTGTTGAGCGCATCCGTCTAAGCGGTAGGCGCCAGCGCCCGTTCTGCCATCTCTCTCTTTTATCACTCTTCTACTTTACCCCGTTGTCCGTCACACTCCGATGCTGCCACATAGGATCCTACAATCGAGTGTCTTTCACGCACCTACATACTTTTGTATATTTCCATCTCTCTTCCTCATCATAATGTATAATAATGTTTTTTCCCAAGGTGTATGCATCCATTAGCAGTGATATTATTTATTATCATATAAATTTGAGGGCTACTTAACCGGACGGAAAAATACAGTTTTCTCTGAGCTTATAACCAAATATTTTCTTGCACACCATACCGAAAATTGAGTATTGACCGCAGGTCTTCCGGTATATCTCCAACAGCTAGTACTGACGTGTTACCAGCATATAAAATAACATTTTTCGTTGATAGGTCATGAGGCGAATCGTTGATGAAATATTTATAAATATAAATTAGGAGTCACAGAGCAGAACACTGTGGTACACTTAGTTTGCATAATATGTAGGAAACAGTTTATTTCGTCAATGTTCACACTTATTGTTCAGTTAGTCATATATATGTTTTAAGCCATGCCAGAAATGAACCTTGAAAACCTAACGCGTACAGTTTTCCCCCAAGTAAATCAGCATGACGAGTATCAAATGCTTTTGTTAGGTAAAAACCATGCGGACCAACCACCTTGCACTCATCCATTGAGTCATAAACGCCCTGGACTTTGGAGAACGGTGCGCTTTCGGTTGAAATCTCTGGGTAAAACACATTCTAACAACTTGAAACGATATTGTACTGGCGCACATAGTCAAGCAAACTGTTATATATGTACTACTCGGTCAACGACTTTGAATGAAACTATGACAGGTGTATAGTTTTATTTCAAACCAGTATCACCACTTTTTAACAAAGGTCTTACCTCCCCTGTATTGAGAGCATCTGGAAATACTCCTTCCTGTACAGATGTGTTCATAATGAAAGTCTGCGGTCGAGCAATTTTATTTTTATATGTTTCGACTGTATATTATCTACTCATGTAAAGGTTTTGTTTACCAAACGACTTATCACTTTGATGACATCATTATCCGTGACGGGAACAAAATATATGGTGTTAGTTTCTATTTCAATAGTACCTATACTCAGGAAGTACGTATTCAGATATAGTACGCTTTGCTATAGTAGAGAAATACTCACCAAAAGTATCTGCAATTATTTTCTCATCTCTGTTCTATTTATCATGAATCATAGAAAGAAATGCAATTATATACAGGGTGTTCCATAATTATTGCGACAAAATGATAGGGGTTGTAGAGGGCATAAAAATATGCAATTTTGCCTTATAAACCCCTGTTCGTAAATATGCCCTTTGAGCACTACCGCTAATTTTACCTTAAGAGGTCATAGGAGAAACAAAAAATTCACCAGCTGCAAAATGTTCGTCTAGCACATTTCATGGTCTCGCCGGTTTGTAAAAAAAGCCTGCTTAGTGTTAAAATGCAGAGTTATTCGTATGCGGAACTTGCGGATATGCATTTAATTTACGGAGAAGCTGTTGGTAACGGAAGACGAGCCTCTCGAATCTACGCCCAATGGTTTCCAGAACGTCCTCATCCGCATCAGGCCATTTTTGCAAGGATTCATGGACGTCTTCGTATCAGTGGCAGCATCAGACACCTCGCGGGAGCAGGGCGGCCCTTCACGAGGCGCACAGTAGTTTTGAGGAAGCGATTCTGCATCATGTAGAGGCCAATCCGCGTACAAGCGTGCGTGCTATTGCACTTGATATGGGAGCGTCTCAAACTACTGTTTGGCGGGTTCTCCATGACCAGCAACTACATCCATACCACCTTTTAAAAGTCCAAGCCATGGGTCCAGAAGACTATCTGCCGCGTCGACGTTTTTGTCGTTGGTGGCTGCAGCAGGAGTTGAGGCAACCAAACTTTGGCGCTACGTTTTGTTCACTGACGAGTCCTGTTTTACAAAGGACGGTTATTTTAATAGCCGTAACAGTCACATTTGGGATGAAGAAAACCCTCATGCCATAGCCATCCATAGAGACCAACATCAGTTTTCAATTAACATCTGGTGCGGCATTGTGGACGAGCACATCTTCGGGCCATATTTGCTTCCACCACGTTTGGATGGGCATGCTTATGGTCGATTCTTACAGCATGTGCTACCGGAACTATTAGAAAATGTGCCACTGAACATAAGAGCCAACATGTGGTTTCAACACGATGGCGCTCCAGCCCAATTTTCTTTACAAGTGCGGCAGTATTTGGACGACAAATTTCCAAATAGGTGGATAGGCCGAGGTGGCCCTGTGCCTTGGCCTGCGCGATCACCCGACCGACCCCACTGGATTATTTTCTCTGGGGCCATCTGAAAGCTTTAGTGTACGAAACTCCTGTTCCCAACCAACAAGAGCTACTGGGAAGAGTGATGGCCGCGTCCGGACATGTTCAGGACATACCGGGGGTATGCCACAGAGTTCGCCAATAATTGAACAGTCGTGCACAGCTGTGTATTGAGCAAGGTGGAGGACACTTTGAGCAATTACTGTAGGTAAGCTGTTTCAAGAAACTGATCTTTTTTTTTTGCTGCAGCCCAACGGCATATTTCCGAACAGGGGTTTATAAGGCAAAATTGTTCATTTTGATGCCCTCTACAACCCCTATCATTTTGTCGCAATAATTATGGAACACCCTGTATATATATATATATATATATATATATATATATATATTAAAACTAGTATAGCAAGATT